ACGACCATGATACATGAATTTCTTAAATTGAACTTTTTGAGCCAAACACGTACACATATGATAAAATGAATGTCACCATCGTGTTCTACGCCCCAAATTACCTATAAAACATGTGTCATGGGCTGCGAATATCAGTTTTGATTTTCGGGGATATGTGCCTACCCGGTTGACCTGACCTTGACCCTGACCTATGCTTGACTGACCCCTACATGGAGCTGACACTCTTGTAGGCCTTATAAGATGGATTGTGCACCGTTTTGACAGAGTTTATGGCGAGAGGCGCCCATTGCGAAGTCCTGAAGTCCATACTATTGAAAGCCCGATTTCAGGTGTTTGACCTGACCTTGACCCGACCTGTGACCTCAAAATTCAACTTAAAAGTACTCATCTGAAGTGTCTCGTCGCGCTCTTTCGTTTGCCGCCTCGTGCGTTTCGCTGCGCCTATTGGTTCTCGAGTTATCGGCTGGGGGCGTTTAACGCCCCCCCCCCCAGCAAACGGTGGGTGGCGAAATACCCCAGCAACTGCCGGGTTACCAGGTGGCTACCTGAGCCTTTGTGTTATTGAAGCTATTGAAGCAAAACAGTTCGTAAAAACGGCTTCTTTACTCATTTGCCCTCTAGAGACTAAATCTTGACGTGGGGTCAACTATGAGGACACATTACGGATCGAGCGTTAAAAGGGTTATCGAATGCGATTTCCCGCAGCGCTGTAGCTCTACTGGTTCCCAAGTTATGCACCGGATTTTCGAAGAATGTTGAAGTAGGCAACATTTTACCTTTGATGGCCTCTGGTGACCAGACCTTTGACCTGACCTAAAGATGACCGAAATGTTTCGTCTTGCTTTTTGACGTTCTTTCGAATGCCACTCAACCCTCGCCGGTATTGGTGTCTTGCCAACAGCGAAGGTAGGGGGGGAGGGGGCCCGTTGGATCCCGCCTTGCCGTTTGGCCCTTGATCGAGCTAGAGCTTTGCGGTATAAACGAACGTGTTGCCCGTGACAAAAGGAAGCCGATGCTACCTGATTTTTAAGGTCCAAGGTCATTGGTTGACATTCCGGGTCAGAACAATGACGGCCAAACGACGGTAAAGTCGGGACCTGTTAGAACGTCGTTGAGTGAGAATATTACTTTTTTAGGGTTGCTGATCACGAATATCCTGTAAGTTTTGATAATCAATGATGTCTTCATCGACTTAGGTCAGGTCAGGTCAGGTCAGATCAACCAATAGCGGTCCTGCCAGGTATTCGCAGTAGGTGGCAACGGCCTCTGACAGCTGCGTAGCATGTTACGCACCAAAACTACCTCGTAAATGTTCAAATGGTTGCTCAATTCGAAATTAGCACCAAAAACTAGATTAGAAACAAGTAAAACTCGCGAGAAGTGAAACGAGGTCATCAAAAGTCAATGACCTGACCTGACCTCTGGGTCACCTTGACAGCTGACACCCACCATAATGCATGGGACCAGCATCATATCACATGTTTGTACTTACGCGTGAAAGTTGAAACCACGAAAGGACTGCAAGCGCGCGGCTAATGCGAGCCGTCATACGCCGAATCGCAATGCCGACCAAACATGGTCTAGATAAATAGATCACAGGTCAAAGGTCATTTGGGTCAGGGTAATGAAATCTTAAGAGAAGGTGCAGAATTGATTAACCTGAGGGCACGGAAAGTTTCGTCGCAATCGGCCACTGTTTACGCCAATTATTTGTGAAAAACCGAGGGGATCCATTCGACTGCCCCTTCGCCCACGTCGTATCGTGGCACAGGAGCCGAGTTTAGACGAGGGGTGTTCAGACGGCCTACCCCCCCTCCCCCCGGCCCGGCTCGGGCTAGAAACTAGAAAGTCCTTTTGTATGATTTCCGTCAGCAGTGTTTTAGTCAGATATAAAATGTCAATCTGTTTTGATTCCTGGAAAGCGTTGATTTGTTCCAATTTCGCAGTCATCGACCATATTATGTTCAGATGGCAGATGATCATTTTGGGACGGACCAGAACCCCGGCCGTCCGCGTCTGCTCCGTTGACAGCCGTGTTGGACGGCTCAAAGTCCTGCTGTGGGCGGACGGTCATAGTAGACGTTCTACACGGCGGTAGGTCCCCAGCAGCGTCCGGAGCGGTCAGCTGGTCACCATTCGCACTCCCTTGGCACGGCGGGTGAGCCGGCGCGCCGACCCACGCGCACCCGCGTCCCTGTCGCCTCTGAAGTGCCCGGAATGTTGACTTTAGCCGCCGGCGCCCGGCAGCGTCCCCCTGACCGTTGGGCCTCCCTCCGACGGCTCCGGTTGTCATGGTTACTGGTAGGGGAGACGACGGATTCTAGAAGCTACTCCGCGCGGTACCATGCGTAGGAAATAAATTAGTTTAAATAAAATTGTGCAGAACTTGCGGTAGAAATGTAGAAAAAACGCATAGGTATCCTATATTCACCTACTACAAAAATAATATTATGTTGCTAAAATTAAGTTCTTAACATGATATGGAAACTTCGGTTGGTATGGTACTATTGCTTCCAAATTAAGCTTGATTCGCGTCTGGCTCTAGTACTGCATTGAATACCCTCCCGAGCCCCTCCCGTATCGCCAGGGTAGCTGTCCCGGTGAGGTGCGTGTCAGACTGAAGCAGTGTGTCGCCCTTGTGACTGTCAGTCCGCGCCTGGGGCGGGGACACGGGTGTGACCTGTGATAATGGCGGGCACGTGAGCGTGACGCATAGCTGGGTCACATTCTAGCCAATCAGGGACGATGAGAGCGCCACAGTGCAGTGGCCAGGCCGATGACCGGGTGGGGAGCGCTGGTTGGGCTTGTTGTGGGCTAGAAAATATTGGGCACGCTTGGTAACTTGAGTTCTACACGGACTTACGCTTAGACTTTTCACATTTTTTGAAGCGAGGAATCAATTTATGTCTAAGCCGTCGCTGGCCGAGGAGAGTGCCTTTCCCGACATTTTTTTTTTTTTAATTGCACGAAGCATGCAGACAATAGTTTTTCAGATTTTCGGGCTCTTTCGAATGCCGCTTACCACGTGTCGCACACGTGGCCCAGGAGCCTAGTTAGTGTGGGGATGGGGTGGGGGGTGGGGGGTGCGACGTGGTTGGCGCCGAGCACCTGCCTGGCGCGGGTAAATAATTATCTGATAAATATTTATAATATATGTTACGATTATATTTGCATTATTGTTTTAAATAAAACTGTGGATATGATTATTAAACGCAATATTAAAACTAGCGCAGTCAAAGCACCCCGCAGCAGGAAAAAAAAAACATTCAGACACCGTCCAGGCCCGGGCCGGGATCGGATCACTGCCCTCGCCTCACAGCGACTTCTGTTTCGACCGCTGGTCTCGCCCGCCGGCCACATGTGCCCTTGACCTTTGACCTACGATGCGTGTCCTGGCTGAATTCCGTTCCGATCGCGCGTCCAGCTGCACCACGGTTGCGGCCCGTCTCTCGCCGGGCGCTACGCCCGAGTGCCGGGTCATGCCTCTGACGTCAGAGGCGCCCGAGGCCAAAATCGCCGAACGCTGACCGACCACAGGTCACGTCCGCACCCCTACCCGCGTGTTTGAAACTCCCGGATGTCACAAGGCCCCGGATGTTAAACCTCTGGCCTATCGTGCACGGCTCGCCGAGCCGGGTATCTCGGTAAAACTCGGGCTTCGGTAAGGTATTCACCAGGGGTGGAGAATTGTGCCGAGTTGGGGTAGCACGAGCCATCCCAATTCCACGCCGGCTGCGCCGGCTTGGCTTTGGAGCCGCACTAGACTGCGGAGGTCAAGGTCACCGCCAGGGCGGCGGCGGATTTGCTGCGCCCGTGCAACCCCAACTCGGCATGTTTCTCCACCCCTGGTATTCACTACAGTACTGGAGCGAAGTGAGGATCAAGCTTAATTTGGAAGCAATAATACCTACATAGGTAGGTCTAAGTTGAAGTGGCAGGCACCTGAATTGTATTCGACACATTATGTCTCCTCTCAATGAATTTACTTTAACACTCACCTGGTTTCCTGGACAACAATGAGCATGAGCCTTTCCTGAAGCAAATCCAGATCCAGCAACCCGCGTGTCACTAGCAGTCAAAATATAAGGATTTTTCTGTGCACCAATTGATGATGCCTCTTCGAATTCACGCCATAAAACTGCAGACCTTCCATGGTTTCGCAAGATCTGGAAGGCAGCACTTTATTTCCGCTCGTTGCATAGTCATACTTCAACTTTGGCGTCCACTCCTTGCACTTATTTGCACATATCCAATCACTCTCAAATGTTCCACGGCACATATACGCAACACCAAAGAGAAAGTCAGGGAAGACGCTAGGATTAGACGGTGACCGCCTGTAGTTTCAAACCCTTCCAAACAGCTGACGCCAGACTGGCCTCAGTCCGCCAATCAGACGCTGGCTACCTCGCTGTCGGCGGTTCCCATTGGCCGCTCCCCCTTGGGTCTCGGTGGCTACCAGGGTGGCTACCCCGTGGCCGGAAGGTTGGGGTAATGCATTTTCCCAGCTCTATTTCTCTGTTACTTGCTCGAAGATTGCCACAAAAAGAGCAACAAAACGAATTATAAATCCCTGTTTTAATGTTTTTTTATGCAAAGTCGTTTATAAATGCAAAAATAGAGACTCCAAATTTACCACAAACTGATCGTGTGATGAACAGACTTTGGTTACGCATATCTAAGTCCAAGTACTTGTACTTCCTTGCTACCTAGATGTGTAAATGTTCGTGGCAGGAAAGTTGCCGAGCGTGCTACCTGAGACCGGCGCTATCTCAGGTAGCACACGACATCACTTTTCACTAAATTTGTTGACTGTGCACCTTTCTTTTGAAGATATGAAAAAAATACTTGCTTTTTACAGAGTTAAGGAAATCAATGTTTGCTCTATATTCTAGCAAGATTTTTGCTCTTTTCTGACATGGCTTTGCCTTGAGTGGTTACCTGGCTTGTCAGTGAGAGACTTGAATTGGTTACCCACGGGTGTGGACGAGTTGGCGACTTTTATGACCTCTGGACGGACTGTCGAAGACCACCATGATGACTTCAGTGAAAAGGCACTGGAGACTGTCAAGAAGGCGTTCTACGTGGACGACTGTCTCCAGTCGGTGTCGTCAATCGAGACGGCGCAGTCGCTGGCGTCAGAGGTACAGGCCCTGTGCGCCAAGGGAGGTTTTCATCTGCACAAGTATGTGTCTAACAGGGAAGGAGTTCTCGACAAGATACCGAAAGAAGATCGAGACGAAGGTTCTTCTAAGAAAGGACTTCACTTGGAAGAAGCGACAAGCGTCAAGAAAGCACTGGGTATCAAATGGAACCTGGAGCAGGATACCTTCAGCTTCTGTGTCAGGGCAAGAGAGATGAAAGTGACCAGAAGAGAGATTCTTTCTGTCATCAGTGGAGTGTTTGACCCTTTGGGCTTTGTGGGGCCGTTCATTCTTACTGGTAAGAAGATCCTGCAGGAGCTGTGCGCCATGAAACTCGGTTGGGATGAAGATGTCCCGGAAAGTCCAGCTCTGATCTGGACCAAGTGGCTAAAGGACCTGCCGAAGCTGGAAGCGTTGGAAGTGGCAAGGTGTCTGAAGCCAGCGAGGTTGGGATCGATCGTCTCAAGACAGCTACATCACTTCAGTGACGCGAGCACAGTAGGTTATGGTGTAGTGTCATACCTGCGTCAGACGGATGACAAAGGGCAGGTACACTGTATGATCCTCATGGCGAAGTCGAGGGTCGCGCCGCTCAAGAAGATGACCGTACCTCGAATGGAGCTGGCTGCCGCAACAGTTGCAGTGCGACTTGACATGCGATGATCACAAAGGAACTTGAGATCCCTGTAGACGATGTTACCTTTTGGACGGATAGTTCGACAGTGTTACGGTACATCAACAACGAAGGGACAAGATACCAGACGTATGTCACGAACCGGTTGGCGGTTATCAGGGACGAATCTGCACCAGCGCAATGGAGATTCGTTAAGTCGGAAGATAACCCAGCGGACGACGCCTCGAGAGGGCTTATGGCGGGTGATCTTCTAGAGAACAACAGGTGGTTCCATGGCCCAGCTTTTCTGGGGAAAGAAGAGTCTGAGTGGCCTCGTCCGCCTGAAGGATTTGAAGACACACAAGAAGCTACAAGAGATGCTGATGTGATTCAGCCTGCTGTGGTTGGCTCGGTCTGCTTTGCCGAGGACGTACAGCCTAATCCGACAGATCGGCTTCTGTGCCACTATTCAGACTGGTTCAGACTCACCAAGGCAGTGGCATGGTTACTGCGCTTCAAGAAGTACCTGATGGCGAAGAGAATGACGGCAGAAGCAGCAAGGAAAGGACCGGTCACTCGATCCCAGGCTCGGGATAGGGAAAGGTCTGCTTGTCGGTTGTCAGTGGCCGAACTTGAAGAAGCGGAAAAAGCCATTCTCCGGCGAGTGCAGGACAGTGCGTTCGCATCGGAACTACAAGCGCTGAAGCCTCAGTGTTCTGATGGAGAGACCAGGCAAGATCCAGTGGACCGGGCGGTGAAGAGAAGAAGTCCTCTGCGGCAGTTGGATCCCATGCTAGAGGACGGACTATTGAGAGTCGGTGGCCGTTTAGCCATGGCCCCACTGGATTCCAAAGCAAGAAATCCAGTCATACTGCCCGCACGCCACCCCGTCTCAGAGTTGATTGTACGGCATGTTCACCAACAGGTGGGCCATCAAGGAAGAGAACATACATTGGCGGCGCTACGTGAAACTTACTGGCTGATTCACGGCAACTCGGAAGTGCGCCGGGTCTTGAGGCAATGCAAGCATTGCATAAGACGGCAAGCACGACCAGAAGAACAGAAGATGGCAGATCTGCCCCCAGAGAGGGTAACTCCAGATCAGCCGGTTTTCAGCAGTGTCGGTGTTGATCTGTTCGGTCCGTTTGTGACGAAGAGGGGCAGAGCCTCGGTCAAACGGTACGGGGTAATTTTTACTTGCCTAGCCACTCGAGCCATCCATATTGAGTTGGCGGACTCAATGTCAACGGACTCTTTTATTAATGCGTTACGACGATTCACAGCGAGGCGAGGGCCAGTCCGGATGATCAGGTGTGACAACGGGACAAATTTTGTCGGAGCGGAAAAGGAACTTCGCAAGGAACTTGAGCACCTAGAACAAGATCGCGTACACAAGAAATTGCTTGAAAGCAAGATTGACTGGATTTTTAACCCCCCAGGAGCCTCCCATTTCGGTGGGTTTTGGGAGAGGCACATTCGGAGCATCAGGAAGATACTCAATTCCCTCCTGACCAGCCACACCCTTGACGACGACGGCCTCACCACTCTCCTGTGTGAGATCGAGAGTATCTTGAACAGTAGACCACTGACGACGGTGTCAGCAGACCCGAGAGATTGTGAGCCGCTTACACCGAACCACTTGCTGCTTTTTCGCGGAGGTCATGTCACGCCTGGAGTCTTCTCCGAATTTGACCTGCATGGTAAGAGATGGCGCAAAACGCAGTATCTCGCGGACTGTTTCTGGACGAGGTGGAGGCGGGAGTACTTGCCGCTCCTCCAAAGGAAGCAGAAGTGGGACAGTGTCCGAAAAAAACCTGGAACCAGGAGATGTGGTCCTGATGATGGACGAGACACTCCCGAGAGGCCAGTGGCCACTTGGAAAAGTTGCTGAAGTAACGAAGGACCAGAAAGGTCTCGTGAGGCAAGTAGTGGTGAGAAGAGGAACTTCAACGTTCCGTCGACCAGTGTCGAAGCTGGTGAAGCTCGTGAGCGGCGAAGACTGAGCACTACATGGCTGAGGAAGACGAAGTTCATTTTTATTTAAGAGTGCAGTGTTGAATCGGAGATGATTCAAGGAGGAGGGTGTAAACGCCGGAAGCGTTTATTGTCTCCATTTGGTTTTGGTTTATATTCTCCTGTCCTTTCCTGTCCCATTGTGAGCCCATCGGCCCGTCTTGTTGAGCGAGCTGTAGGAAACGGAGAGCCAGTAGAAGGCTCTGCTGTCTGGTTGCAGCCAGAGGTAGGGGGCGGCACGGAGCACGGGTTGAGACGCTGATTGGTACTTTGGTACTTGCAGGGCACTAAAGAGTTGGTACTTGTGTAACGTCATGTGGAGGGGAACAAGGAACAAGGCAGTGTATGATGGGAATGTGGAATTGCGTCGTGTCGAATGGTTAGCCAAATACTCATGTTAAAATACGTTAAATTTGTGATTCGCGTGACATCTCATGTGATGCATAGGAGCCTTTTGCATTCAGAGAAAGACCTATTATAATGGACACGGTACTTAGTGTGGTACTGGAAATAGTGCTGGTACTCATACGCCAACACGTCAGATTTGGTAACCGCCCATTTCATGCCGCATTTTGGTTCTTGGAAAGCGTTTGAAGTATAAGAAGGCGATAGCGTTCAGGCGTGAAGAATATGTCTGCAGGTGGATAATGTTGGTGAGTGTTATCGTCTCTAGCAATAAAGAGACGCTTAATTGTTATCAATATTAGTATTCATTGCGCTGCATTGTTACAAACTGGATCTGAGAAATGCGCCGATTTGTGTCCATTTTTGCGTATGTGTTTAATCGCGAATATTCTGCAGGATTGCAGTGCAGCACTGAATAAGTTTGTCTGTTATAAGGCCAGAAACATTATCTCAGTGTTCAGGCCATTTAAGGCTATTTGATTGCAGTGGGAGAGCGACACTCGTACGACCTTGACCTTGGCCGCGCCATATTCGTCTTGAGCTCTGTGTTTGGCCCCCCATTGCCGTGTTTGTCTTTCGTTTCTGCTTTATTAATTTTGATGTATCCTTTCAGAAACCTTGCTTATTTGCTTACTTTGGCCTACTTGGATGCTTGTGAAGCTGGAGTCACAATACAGAGGCCAACTATCAAGTTGCACGAGTTTTGCACCACCAGACTGCAGAGTTTTGGAGACGCCTGGAGGCGACAACCAACATAAGGTGTCCAGAGAGCCAACATCAATGTCACCATCTATGTATAGCACTAGTCATTAACCCTATTCCTGGCGGGGGGGGGGGGCCTCAGGAGCCCCCCCCCCCCCTGAGGTTTTTTGGTTATATCTCCCAAACGCGTTGAGCTAGGAAGCTCAAATTTTCTGACTTTTCCTAAAAGGCTTCTACGCAACATGTCTGAAAATTTTGATTTGATCTGACCTCAGGTCAGGTCACCAGAGGCGGTTTGGTGACGCTACCTCAGAAAAGTTTGCAATCACGCCAGAGCTAGAGTTTTTGACCGATCAATTTCTTCTCTTCAGGGTTTAGTTAGGGTACCAGTATGTGCAATTTGTATATCTCGGAATTTTGATATCGGTGACCTAAGGTCAGGTCAATTTCGCTACCTCCCCATTATAAGTCAATGGGGGAAAAATCAACTCCCTGTTTTTACCACTAAAACGGGTCGGAATGGCCCCATATACCATACATGACTTCATATACGATCAACCTTCATTACCTTGAGGTCTGTTTTGCTGTTGGGCAGCTGTGAGGTCATGTGACGTCATCAAAGGTCACCAAAGGTTTTTGGCCAATAACTCCGTACAGGAACAAGATACAGACGCGTGGATGGTCTCATTGTGTTCAGCTCGTCAAGACGCATCGAATGATATACATGATGACCTCGAGGTCACGTGACCTGAGGTCAACCTTTGACCTTGACCTTTCGAGGTCAACATATATATCATTCGATGCGGATTGACGAGAGGATCACGATGATGCCCTTAGTTTGTTCCTATCTTGCCTAATTCGAAAGTTATTCGAGAAAAACTCTCTCCATATGTAGTGCCGCCATTTTGACTTTTTCGACCCCTGTGACGTCATCTTTGACCTGACCTGAAAATGACCTTTGTAAAAATTGTAGATCTTGGCCGTGCGTATCCGATGCCGTTTACCGCTTGTCGCTCTCTTGCTCCGTTCTCGAGATCTCAGGGGGGGGGGCCGAATCGGCCCCCCCCCCCCCGCCAGTTTCTTGTCCCGGCGGAGCCCGCCAGGAATAGGGTTAAAGCTACATTTTGCAGTCTTTACCCTCGCCGGCCGAGAGGGGGGGGACGGGTGCCGCCCCCCATAGGGTTTTTTCGCGATTGCTGAAAACATGCTGGCGATAGAGAGCTGAAACTTGACATACCTGACCTTTGATTCAAGCCAGATCTTTTGAAACCAGCCACATTTTTGGGTCAGGTCAGGTCACTGACCTATGACGTCATAAGTGAACCTCTGCACGGTCTTCAGATGTCGCAACTTCGCAACGCCCTCACTGCCAGAGGAGATGTAAGAAGGAAAGGAAACATGCAGGATGTAGTATCCATTATGAGTCTCACAACTTGGATATCTTGGATTTTTCCTTATGGTCATATGAGGTCAGGTCATTTTCGTGACCTCACCATTATAAGTCAAAGGGGAAAAATGAAAACTGCTATTCTGGCGCAGGGAGCGATCTCCAACTATCTCAAGCACACAGAATCGTGATTTGATGCACTCCTTGCAAGGTTAGATGCGTCACTTTTGCAATGTTGATCTTGCGTGACGTCATTTATGACGTCATCAAGGTCATAATAGTTTTCGTCAATAACTCTTGATCAAATTGAGCTAGCGAGTCGGGAAAGCCACCAATGGACTCAAGATGACCTGCCAAATCGAATGATATGCGACATGACCTCTTTCGACAAGCTTCGTGACCTAGGGGTGTTGACTTGTCCTTGACCTCTGGTCAACACCCTAAGTTGACCGGACCCGAACAAAAAGTATATCATTCGACGCGCCTGAGCGAGGCAAACACGATGCTGCCAAAATCGCGGCTCTGCGGCCGTGTTTTGCGCAG